TCTCAGTTGGTCAACTTCAATTTATTGATAGTTTGAAATTTTCATTACCTGGTTTAGCTAAGATGGCAGAAAACTTATGTGATGAAAAGAAAGGCCAAACTAAAACACCAGAACAATTAGCAAAATGTTTTCCAATTATGTCAAAATTCATCTTACCTCATTTATTATCATTGCTTACACGTAAAGGAATATTTCTATATCAGTGGTTAACTAGTAAAAACAAATTTAAAAAAACGCAACTACCTCCTCAAAAAGATTTTAATAGTGACTTGGATGGAGTAAATTATTGCGAGCAAGAATGTGAAAGCAAAGAATGTGAACATGAGAAAATTTACACAATAACTCAAAAAGACTATGATTTTGCTCATACAGTTTGGAAAGAAACTGCTTGTAAAACCTTTGGTGATTATCATGATATTTACCTCAAAATGGATATTCTTATATTAGCAGATGCATTCGAGGCATTTCGAAAAGCATCTTATTTAGCATTCAATTTAGATCTAGCAAATTATTTAACCACACCAGGTTTTGCATAGGATGCGTGTATGAAGGTAACAAAAGTAAAATTAGAATTATTTAACGAGCATCAAGGAGATATGCATGACTTCTTTACTGCAATGAAAAGAGGAGGAATGTCCTTAGCTAGAAGACGTATAGCTAGAGCAAATATTCTCGGATTAGAAGAGTACGATGAAAAAAAAGCAAAAAAATGGCTGTTATATTTAGATGCTAATAATCTTTATGGCTGGGCAATGTCTCAATATTTACCAACCAGAGGATTTAAATGGCTATCAACAAAACCTTTGAAAGCATCCCACCCTTTAGTGCAGAAAATTTTAAAAATAAAAGAAAATTCAAATCGAGAATGTTGTTTGGAAGTTAAATTATTAATTCCAAAAGAATTACATCCCAAATTTCGAGACTATCCAATGTGTCTAGAACGAAAGAATGTACCATATGATTGATATAGTTCAAAACAAAAAGAATGGGCAGGTAAACAATGTTCAGATACAGAAAAACTTATACTAACTCTCCATGATAAGGATCATTATGTTATTCATTATAGAAATCTACAACAATATATAAAGGAAGAATATGTTCTTGAAAAAGTATATCAAATTCTAGGTTTCGAACAATCACCATGGTTGGAACCATACATTGCAATGAATACTTAACGACGTGCAAAAGCAAAGAATGCCTTTGAAAAAGATTTCTGGAAATTAATAAATAACTCAGTATTTGGAAAAACTATAGAAGATGTAAGAAAACGAGTGAATATAGATTTAGTTAGACAGGTAGGTGAAGAACGGAGGTTACGTAGATTAATATCAGATCTGGCATTTGTTAGTAGGAAAATTTTCTATGGAGCAAATTTGGTAGCAGTACATCGAAGACAAACCAATGTAAAACTAAATAAGCCAGAATATGTTGGAGCATGTATTCTTGATCTTTCTAAATATTTTATGTATGACTTCTGGTATGGACATCTCAAAAAGAAGTATGGTGATCGAATAAGACTTTTATACACAGATACAGATTCTTTAATCATAGAAATTGAAACTGAAAATATTTATCAAGACATGATCGATGATTGTGATTTATTTAATTTTAGTGACTATCCAAAAGATCATTGGGTAGTAAAAAATCTTCCAGAAGATCAGTAGATAATCAATAAAGATAAACGTGTCTTAAAAAATACAAAAGTTATAGGTAAGTGGAATGACGAAAATGGAGAAGATCATGCTATTGGCTATGCTGGAGTTCATGCAAAATGCTATAGTGTTATATGTGAAAATTTATGAAAAAATATGATAAAAGCAAAGGGTCTTAAAAAAGCACTTATCAAGAGAGAGCTCATATATAAAATATTCGAAGACTGTGTTTTAGAGGGAAAAGAGGATCAACCACGAACCGCACAATTCCTCCGAAGTTACAAGCATCGAATATATAGAATAAAGCAAACAAAGAGGAGTATTAACCTACTAGATACAAAATTATGGTTACCCCAAGATGAAAAAGCTAATCCATATGTATATGGAGATCTAAAAAACGTGTTTTATGTAATGATTGTAGAAAACCTACAGCTTCTGCTTGTAGACGTTGCAAAAAATA